CATTAGAGCTGGACAGAGCCTAATGTTTCCGATGCGGTAGGATTAGGGGGCAGCTACTGCGTAGCTCCTAATTATGGTGACTATTGTGTTATCCTGATGCATTAGAGCTGGACAGAGCCTAATGTTTGAAGATGCGGTAGGACTGGGGGCAGCTACTGCGTAACCCCCAATTATGGTGACTATTGTATTATCCCGAGGTATTAGAAGATTGTTATATTGCTTACTATTGAAATAGGTGGATCATTCAACTAGGATTTTAGAGATGTTTTGATTATATGATAGGTTTGATTGTAATAGAATATGACCTAAAGTAATGCTTGTGAATTTAGTATTTTCAAATCACCCCCATGGCTAAAAGAATTCCAGAATTTGTTTCTGTCATTTTCACTAAAATGTATCACATATGGGAGTTTCACGTTATTTGGAAGAAAGAGAATAAAATCCTGTGCTCACAGGAGATAGAAGTGACGGGTGTTTCACTAATGAGAATTCTTTGACTATGATAAAAATTACTAAAAATTTTTTTTTTTTTGAGACGGAGTTACACTGTTGTTGCCCAGGCTGGAGTGCAATGGTGTGATTTTGGCTCACTGCAACCTCTGCCTCCCGGGTTCAAGCAATTATCCTGCCTCCGCCTCCCGAGTAGCTGGGATTACAGGCACCACCACCGCACTGGGCTAATTTTGTATTTTTAGTAGAGACGAGGTTTCTCCATGTTGGTCAGGCTGGTCTCGAACTCCCGACCTCAGGTGATCTGCTCGCCTCGGCCTCCCAAAGTGCTGGGATTACAGACATGAGCCACCGTGCCCGGTCTTAAAATTTTAATAACTTTTGTTCTGATTATCAAGATAGCACAGGTTCATCATAGCTTAGAAAACATAGGAACACATAAAGAAAAAAACAAAAATTGGCCGGATGCAGTGGCTCACGCCTGTAATCCCAGCACCTTGGGAGGCTGAGGCGGGTGGATCACTTGAGGTCAGAAGTTTGAGACCAGCCTGGCCAATATGGTGAAACCCCAGCTCTACTAACAATACAAAAATTAGCCAGGCGTGGTGGCGTGTGCCTGTAATCCCAGCTACTCGGGAGGCTGAGGCAGGAGAATTGCTTGAACCTGGGAAGCGGAGGTTGCAGTGAGCCAAGATTACACCACTGCACTCCAGTCTGGGCGTTGCGGGGAGACTCCGCCTTAAAAAAAAAATTATGTATAATCTCACTACCCAAAGAAAACTTAACTTTTTGGTATATATTTTTCCGTTCTTGATAGATACATAATGTGTGTGATCTGCGTGCTTTTCTTTATTTGTGTCACGGAATTGGGGCTGTACTGCTGATAGCTTTATTCCCTGCAGCTACCGTTTAACTTCATCCGGGGAGCATTTTCCCACGTGTATTAGTCAGCGTCTCAACAGGAAAAAAATGGCATATTCAGCTGGGATTTGGTCAGTAAAGGGACAGTTCACAGAAGTGGGGGCAAGGTGAGAGGAGCCAACAGAGGATTCCGAAGCCTCCAGATACGAGTGGGGAGTGGTTACTACCATAGAACTCACTCAGGAGCTGGAGCTGCCCCCCAAACCTGTAGTCACAGGAGGATGTGAGAGGGGTTTTGGCCTCTTGGGACACTTGGAGCCTTGGGCGTGTCTTCACGTTCGCCTGTGTCCTCCTCCACAAGCACACAGAAGTCCCAGTGCAGACTTTTCTGGAGTGAAAGAAACAGGGTAGGTAACCACCTTTCGTGCTCCAGATGGTCCCCAATGAGTTCTGCATATCAGGAGATTCCGAGCTAAAGAGAGGGCAGCTCAACAGCCTTCCCTTTGGATATTAGACCGTCCTAGTTAATGTGGCTAATGACTGGCTGACGATTCAGGTTAACTAAAATAGGAATCATCTCTTCCTATTTCTGATGGTGAGAGAATCTAAACAGACGATAGTCAAGGTAAGGTCAGTAGGAAAAGGACTCATTGTATGTGGACTGATTTGGACCATGTCCAGCCTTTACTTCCCCCCTTTCTTTTCTTAAAATATGCAGTTTCCAGTTCAGGAAGCAAATTAGAAATTCCAGGCTGACTCGTTCCTGTTCCTTTTCCTCAGAACCACAACCAGCAGTGGAGGGCTGACCATCAGCAGCCTCCTTAAGGAAAAGGAGGGCTCAGAAGCAGCCAAGTTCACTCTGGAGGAGCTCTGCCTCATCTGCGGCATCCTGAGCACAGCAGAGTACTGCCTGGCCACCACCCAGCAGGTGAGCCGCCCGGGCTGCCCGCCCACCACCGCCTTTTCCTGAACTCTGGGCCGCGTCGCTCAGCGAGTAAGAATATACGTCCTACCACGGCCACAGACAGCGCTGAGTCAGACCAGTGGGCCTGCCACAGAGGAAAGCTCACCGTCCAGCCATAAGGCTGCCCAGGCAGCTGTCTTACAGGCAGGCCTTGTTAAAAGGAGACTGGGCAAGAAAGTAGGACTGGTCACCTCCCTGGCGTTGTGTAAGCTCCTCAAAGGGCATGACCCAGGAAAAGTAGGTCAGTAGCACTCCTGCCCGTATAAGAAAAGCAGGAACAGACTTGTCTGTACTAGGACCCAGCCTTTGGTGATGGCGAGTCACAGCCAGTTATTCCACGCTCAGAAGAGTCACAAAGTTAGGCAGAATGCTCTGGGCTTTTATGTCTTCTGAAATTTACACGGCATTTTCAATCTGCCTAAACAAACAGCCATTGTTTGGGATGCTGACGTTCAGGAACTGGGGGGCAGGAAAGGGTGATGTCTCTGTTGGAGGCCCCCAAATGGCCGTAGTTCAGCAGCTCATGGGGCAGAAGGAAGACCCAGAATAACCTCTGACTCAGCCGTAAACGTGGGGTTAGAAATTCCTTTTCACACTGGGGCTGGGATTCCCTGAGGCCAAGAGAAAGAACGTAATTTGGAAAGGTTCTGCTCTTCTGCCCACTTTGTATTGATAATTTACAGATGCCTAGACCACAGGAAGACAGTCATAAGTGATTTTTCAGACAGCACAGCTTGAGCTCCTGTGAGCCAGGGCAGCAATACAGCAGGTCAAACAGGAAGTGTGTCCACAAAGGCCCTCAGTGGCACGTAAGCCAGCCGGAGGCAGAGGCGGCAGCACACTCTGCCTGGGGACCTGGTCGTGTTGAGCTGCGAAGGTCATGACCTGCCAGGGTTTGGCCTTGGAGCCACAGAGCAGTCCGTTTAGCCCCCGGCCACTCCCGGGGGAGATGGCACTATCTGTAAGGACCTCCAAGGCAGGGGTTCCAGAGTTCTTTTGGGAAGAAGCACTGTTGAACTATTTTGTGTGTGCAGAAAGAAAGACATACGTGTAAATATGCTATTTTAAAGGTAAAATAACTATAGTATAAAAAAACAAAAATGATCCCTCTTAATCCCGTCATCCTCAAATAATCATATTAGCAATTTGGGGTGTTTTTTCAATTGTTATTTATAGACATAGTTTTATATGTTTTAATCTTAATTCACTGTTACATCCTTTTATTGTTAGTGTCATACGTAGCATTAGCATTTTTCCTGTCATTATAATGATAGTAGTAATCATTATAACTATCATTACAGAGTCATTATTACTATCATTGTTTATGGCCACATAATATTTCTCTTTAAGGGACTATACCATAAATTATTTATTTATTTATTTTTTGAGACGGAGTCTTGCTCTATTGCCCAGGCTGGAGTGCAGTAGCTGCGATCTTGGCTTACTGCAAGCTCTGCCTCCCAGGTTCAAGCAATTCTTCTGCCTCAGCCTCCTGAGTAGCTGGGATTACAGGCGCCTGCCACCATACCCGGCTAATTTTTGTGGTTTTTTTTTTTTTTTTTTTTAAGTAGAGATGGGTTTTACCATCTTGGCCAGCCTGGTCTCGAACTCCTGACCTTGTGATCCACCTGCCTCGGCCTCCCAATGTTTTGGGATTACAGGCGTTAGTCACTGCACCTGGCCTTATACCATAAATTTTTTAGCAGTATCCCTGATCATTGTTTATGCTGCTGCGAATTTGCCTTTTTTTTTTTTTTTTTTTTTT